GATAATAGAAAGTTAATATGAAAAGAATATGAAGACTAAATGTGGCTGTGATAATAGAAAGTTAATATGAAAAGAATAGGAAGACTAAATGTGGCCTATTGGATAATTTCTGAGTTGCTCTGCTTTTCTTGTATTTCTTCTGCAAGATGTGTAAAACGAAGTGATAAGGCCTTTTTTGCTTTTGTCATTGGGATAAATACTACATTCAGCAGTTAAACCTAATGGGAGGAGGAAATAAGGTGGACAAAGCACAGTGTGCTTGTTTTTTCTGCCATCTGTTTTTCTATGGTGTGGGGGATGGAATTGATGACAGTTTGAAGAATTCCAGTCTAATCTGCTTTTATCCTTCCTTAGCATTTGGCATCATTGCTGCTGCACAACAAGTTTGCAACGGAGTTTGTTGCTCATGGAGGAGTGCAAAAGTTGCTGGAGATTCCTCGTCCTTCCATGGCAGCAACAGGGGTCTCCATGTGCTTATATTACTTGTCTTACAATCAAGATGCCATGGAGAGGGTAAGAGGCATTCTTTTAATACAACTGCAGTGATTCCTGTTGTTTCTTAGCGTTTCTACCTGTGTTCAAACAGTGAATAAACATCTCCTAAGCTAAAAAGCAAATTTATATAGAAGACTTTGGTATGTGCAGAGGCAATAGGAAGTATATAAATAACGGTGTATTTGAGTGTTTTATTTCAAGGGTGTGGATTTCAGTTCCTAGGGAATTAACTGAAGACCTCTGTCTTGTCAGCGTTGTCTCAATACTTTCATCACCCTTTTTGTCCTATTATTCCCTCTCTCCCTCAAAAAAAAGGAAAAACTTCTGTATTCTCATTTGTCTTTCCTTTCCCGGCTGTTCCAATGGAATCCTATACTTGAGATTGGGACTGTGCATGGAAAAAACAGTGTGGATAGCTTCAGTGTTACACAATGCCTCAGTCAGATTCCAGACAGCAGCGCAACTTCTGTGGTGGTGGTAGAGTGCAGCAGAAGACTAATGCAGGTCTGGTCTGTGTTGTGCAGAAAATCAAATTAAATGACTCTAAGGGTTCTCTGTGGCCTGAGCTTATAAATATTAAAACAGCTGATAATGAAGTTCCTCACCTCATATTTTAACATAGAAAAAAAATTCTTAAAAGAAATCCTCCTCTCAGTTCGGTAGCATTCCTCCAGCAAGCATCCCTTCAGACAAGTTGATATGGCAGTCCACCCGTAAGCTTCAGTTTCCCAGGTACTTTAAACAGCGATCCTATTTTCTTTTTTGTGCTGGCAGCAGCACATGTGTGCTGAGCCAGATCTAGGAACTGATCCAGTTTGTTCTAAAGTTGCTACCATTCAAAAAAAAAAAGATGAACTTTCAGGTTGTGAGCATTAGTACTGGCATATGGGAGCATCCTGCTCTAAAATTCATTCAAAGCAGCTGCAAAGTTGTAGCCTTAAGCCTTCCAACTCTGCTCTGCTTTGAGTGATGGCTTTTGATTCCTGGCCTATCCCTGGCATTGTCCAGTTTGGTTTTTTTTTTTTTTCCAGCTGAAAATGGAAGCAGTTAAACTAGTAACTGTACATTTCTGCTTATTCTTTCCTACTTTTTGATGCTGTCTGAATGTGTGTTGTGATTTAACATGCTTAACACTCCTGAGCACGTAGAGGCTGGACTGGTAGTGGTTGTCTAAGGCCGTATCTGTAGGGATTCTGCTGGCATTTGTGTTCTGCAGGCATTTGTATAAGCGAGTTCAAAAACCTTGTGGTAATCACGGTTGATCAGGGCTGTCTGTGCCCTGTACTGCATCTCCCTTATGAAGGCAAGAAAGGTGAAATGGGCATAATGTTCTCTCCACTTATTTTTGCCCATTATGTCAGAAAGATGGATGCTGGCTACATATGACCTGCTTTGGTGTTTCTCTGAACTTTGTCATGAGAAAACTCTCTATGCTCCCTTTTTTTCCGTCCTTTTTTTTTTTTTTTTTTTCCCCTGATTCTACTGGCTGCTTGCATGGTTGTTCAAAAGAAAAACCAAAAGCTGTGACAGGGTGCTGCATAAGGATGCCTTCTGCTTGACATCCTCAGGCCATGTCATAAAACTATGCAGCTGTTTTGTAGTGACATTGTCTCATCTGCCAGATGTTATCCCCAATATCTACAGATACCAGGTAGAGCAGGTTTCTGTGGTACATTCCTCTCTTGTCTTTGGATTTCAGAGGAAGTTTCAAGGGGCAGTCCCTTGTCACTTAGTCCATGCCAAGCTTCAGGTCTTGGGGTGGAAGCAAGGCTGGAGCTGGTAGCGCTGTATTCTCTGAGTATGTCCAACACCAGCAGAGAAGAGACAAAAAAATCTGCTAACTTGGCATATAGCAGCTGGTGCCAGTGCTTTAGCTCCCTGCGCTGTTCCTCTTGGCGCTGACCTTGGCAGAGGGTTCTGAGTTCCTCATCGTTAGAAACTAACAAATGTATGCAAAAGTGCAGCTCTGAGCCCATGGTCTGCACACCTCAGAGGCCGGGTCTGAGAAAAGAAAAAGACCGGCTCAGTTGTCTATTTCCAGAGAAAGTCAAGCTTTAGATTTGCATTTGATGATCCTTGCAGTTCCCCTAGGCTGCAGAGCTACCAGAGTTTGCTAGAACTTCAACCTAGCATATGATACTGTTACACTGAGAAGAATTTTTGTTTCTTCAGTGGAAACTTTTCCTTCTCTGCCTCTAGCGAAGCATTCTTTGGATAGCTTGAAGTGGTATGGAGATCTCCTCTCTGGAATTATACTACATTAAGACTGCTGTATTTATTATGTTTAGGTCTGGGAATGGATCAGTTGCTAACCCTGCATTGCTACATCATGGCCTTTATTGTCTCACTGCGGCTTTCTTTTACTGGTCTGGAAATGGGACTTTTTATTTCACGTCTCAGATGTCCCAAGTCAAGCTGGGAGTAACCGATATTTGTCCCCTGGCTGTTTGCCCCTCAAAGAACCCTCATTCTCCTTGGACGAATTCTCTTCAGCAATCTCTTTGAAGTCCTTCCTAAGAATGTTCTTTTGCTTTCTAGGTGTGCATGCACCCCCATAATGTGCTTTCAGATGTAGTAAACTACACCTTATGGCTAATGGAGTGCTCCCATGCCTCAGGCTGCTGCCATGCTACCATGTTCTTCTCCATTTGCTTCTCCTTCCGTGCTGTCCTGGAGCTCTTTGACAGGCATGATGGCCTTCGACGTCTGGTTAACCTGGTAAGGCTTGTAGTTTTATGTGGTGAACAGGGTTCTAGTGTGAGGTTTTGCACCCTTTACAGTGCCACTGTGGAGAATTCTGTTCATTTTGTTTTGTTTTGTTTGTTGGGTTTTTTCCCTCCTAAATTCCCAAGAGATGGAGAGGTGGGGTGAGTTTTCTAAGCAACAGATGTGTGGATCCCTTCATCTTTATTCTTTTTCTTATTATTATGATCATTGTCCAGAGACTTGCTACCCTTTGAGAGCTTTTTGGTGCAACTCTTGGGTTAAGCGTCACTTACTCACACACTGGTGCCTTATCAGCAGTTAAAATGTTTCTCTCCATTCCACACACGTGTGGTATTGCCATGCACCCTTTTGGATGCGGATACATCCAGCCTTGTTCCAGGAGAAGTACAGCTGTGTTTGTGCTGTGGTAATCGCAGTACCTTATCAGCACAAATTACACTGTTCATGTACAAAAGCTGGTACGTCTGCATGGTATTGCTGTGCAGTCCTAACAGTTTGGGTTGGTACTAACTCAGGGACATCAGCACTGCAGGGTGTAAGCACACTTTATGTTGCGTAATATAATGCCTAACAGTATTAGGCACAACGTTGCCTCCAGATCTACATTGATGTAACTTCTGGATTTCTTTCTTCATAGATAGTGAAGGAAGGGGAATGGTTCTTTTTAGACTTAACTATTTATCCAGCGCAGATAGCCTTTGCTGTTCAGACAACTTTCGTTGGCTCTCAGAGAGTATGCTTGTATGTCTTGTATAGCAAAGTAAGTTTGTTTGAGATTAGTACAAGTGCAGCTGAGAATTGTAGGTGCTTTTTTTTCTGAAGAGCGAGCTGATGAAACTTTTTTTTTCCTACCCCACCTCTTTCTGAAGATAAGCACGCTTGAGATCTTAAACCTGGAAGACCAAGGAGCCCTCTTGAGTGATGATGAGATCTTTGCCAGTCGCCAGACTGGGAAACACACCTGCATGGCCTTGCGTAGATACTTTGAGGCTCATCTTGCTATTAAACTTGAACAGGTGAAGCAGTCACTCCAGCGCACTGAAGGTGGGATTCTGGTCCATCCACAGCCTCCCTACAAGGTGAGCAGCATGTTGCAAGGTTTTAACATGATCGTTGCATTTTTCAAGCAAATCCAAGCTGCAGGACTATGTGGATGTCCTTTGAAGCCAGTGGAATAACTAGGCAGTGTGCAATTTATAGGGATAGGGATTTTTTTATTTGTACTTTTTTCCTGCCTTGTGGAATGACACTGCAATAGAAAAGTACATAAGAGCCTTTGAGGTTCATCTGAACTACATTTGATTAAGGTTCCTGTTCATCTGCTGTGGTTCCCCTTCCATCTCTCAAAAACTTAAGTTAAAGGCAGGTTATTTTTGATACTCGTGGGTTTTTCTATGCTTTTAATCTCTGAAAGGACAAAATCTGTATGTATAGAAAAGTGCATAATGTTGAAAAACTTGGGAATAAGTTTGATTCGATAATGACAACTGAAATGTGTCTTTTGGAAACCATAGTTTTTAGGAATGACCTGGGAGATTCTTGTGTTGGTCATTTTTCTTTTCCTACTTTTTGCAAAGTGATTTTTTTTTTTTTTTTTTAACTGAATCTTATGCTTGCTTGTTTTGAGGAAGCACATTCACCTGTCGTTTCTGGTTTAATTTATGATGGTTTTCTAGGAGAGATGAAATAAGATAAGGCTTTTTTTGCTTCTGCAAAAATCACTTATTTTCAGTAACTAAAGAAAGCTGTTGCTGCCGTGTGTAATTTAAAAAAAAAATTATTGAAAGGCAAGCTTGTTAGGAATTTCCTTTTTTCTTTAGTATGTTTTTCAGTCAGAACTTAGAAACTGAAATTGAATATTTTTTTGCAGCCTTTTTTAATACTTTAGCATAAATTTATTTTGAATGATGGTCTAGTAACTACTAGATTAGTAGCTTAAAAGCAGAATAGAATTTTAATGTAATATAACTTTTTTCTTCTTGAATTGGCCTAAGCCTTCTAGGACTGCAAAGAAACTTAAAGGATATTATTTTATGCTTATTATTGTATATTATAGTGACAATTGCTGTATTCTTTTATAGTTGGGGAATAAAACAGAAAGCAAATACTTAATCTGCAAGGAACAGTGGTAGTCTAATCTTTGCGGATGCAGTTTTCGGTTAAATCCCAGCAGTGGGGGACTTGATGTGCAGGTTTATAACTCTTGTGATTTCTTTTTAATGCTTCCAACTCACTTCCCTGCAGGCCTGTTCCTATACTCATGAGCAGATTGTAGAGATGATGGAGTTCCTGATTGAGTATGGTCCAGCACAGCTCTACTGGGAGCCAGCAGAGGTTTTTCTCAAGTTGTCTTGTGTCCAACTCATGCTTCAGCTCATTTCAATAGCATGCAACTGGAAGACATACTATGCAAGGTGAGCTGTTTGCTATAGTACTGTATTTGAGTGCAGTAAGTTGTGACTCTTGGGCAGAACGTTACATTTCTAGATTTTCTACCTCTCTGAGAGCATTTAAAACAGGCACATACTGGTTGGTTAGTGCTGTTAGGGCCTGTGCTGTGGCTAGGCGGTGTTTATGAAAGTTAATACCATGGAAAGCAAGACTAAAATCTTGAGGTAGAGAGAGGGATGTCATGAGATTTCTGAAGAGCCAAAATGCCTCAGGCTTTTGATTTCAGAGAAATCAGCATCATAGTAGAGCTTAATCACTATTCTTTCTGTCTGTCTCAAAATGTGTTTACCTTTTTGTTAGAGAAAGGCTAGAAAACCTTCAAAGTAGAGGGTGAAATCAAGACATATCTTAATTCTGGGAAGAGGTGGAATATATCTTTGGATGTAGTAAGTTTAGCTGACTCAGGAGAGGACATTGTGTATCACTTTCTTCATTTGCTGGTATTTGAAGTTTACTGAGCAGATATAAATGTGCAAAGGAGTTGTGTGAATATGCAACAAGCCAGCATTTGAGAGAGGAAAAAGACTGAAGATTGTTACTGTGCATTGCTCAGGCTTTTGTCCCTAGATGATACACCACCAGCTGTTAAACTCAATATTTTGGTACAGGGGCTCACCTTGTGATGCCACTTTTAAGTTTCTCCCTTGTCTTGGCCACAGACAAGCTGTGAGGGCACCAGGATACTCTGTTATCTTTCTGTGGCACCTCTTCCCTCCACCTCCCCACCCAAAAAAAATCTGCAGCATCCTTACTGTTACAAAAGAAAGGGAACTGCCACCAGGCTCTGATAGGATACCATTACGATCCTGTCCCCAGTTCAAAAGGAGGATGGGTGCAAAGTTCCAGCCTCTGTTTATCCTAATGACCATCTGCTCCCCAGAGTGAATCTGTAGTCATCTCTAGAGATATATTCACTGGTGAGTCACTCTCTGCTATAACTAGTTGTCATCAGCTGTATTCTTGTCACAAGGACTCCCTCCTTATTTCTGCTGCCTGCAGGAGCTCCTTGCCTAACTTAACTGGAAAGAACTTTGAAATCTGTTTTGCTTCTGCAATCCCCTGCCTCCCTCTGTCTCTCTCAGGTTGCACTCTCCTGGGTAGTTTCTGTTCTCCTGTTTCTTACTCTCTGCAGCTGTTTCCTAATTGCTAGCTGGGTTAACTCCTGCCTTTCCATACAGGCTTACAGACCTTCCCCCCTTTCCTTGCATTGTTCTGCTCTTCCACCTTTTGCTTAACAGCACTTTTCATCTTCCACACACCTGTGTCTCTCTTAAACTGGTGCCTGAGTTGATGCCTTTTTCTCTATCACAATTATTTGTTTTATTGCTAAACAGTTTCCCTTCACTTCAGAAAAACTTCCCTTCTAGTTGACGAGTGACAGAGTATTTTAGACAGCAGTGTTTCCCAGCTAAGACGTAAAGTTAGATTAGATTGAGAGGCTTAATTTAGAATGCTTTTGTGGATAAGTCTTAACATTCTTATTTTTATAAATAGAAAATTAAGGCTTTTAGGAGCCTGTGGGCAGGGTGGGGTAAATGTTGACAGACGGCAGGCAGTGGTGTGCATGTGAACACTGCCCTCTGTGGAGACCAGCCCTTTAAGAGTGGAACATTCTAAAATCAAAAGGCAAAATCAAAAACATCAGATGTGACTGATTTACTCCTATTTGTTGCAGTAGATTGAGTACTGTTTTATATTACTGAAACAACTCTGTATGTACACCTCTAAGAAGTTGTTCTGTTGTTGTCTTCCAGGAATGACACAGTACGATATGCTTTGGATGTGCTAGCCATCCTGACTGTGGTTCCTAAAATCCAGTTGCAGCTGGCAGAACCTGTGGATGTGTTAGATGAAGCTGGATCTACTGTTTCCACTGTGGGTAAGCTGAATATGGTCCTGATGACTTACACACTTACCAATTGTCTCCTGCTACATGGTTTTTCAGTTGGCTGTTTCTCACCTACAGTGAAATAAGGGTTAAATAATTCATGTATTCAGGGTTATTGTCAGGGATGCAAATAAATGGGAGAGTAGATGGTGGTTAAAATTGTGTCATGATTAGTGTGGTTGGATTACTAATTTGAAGGCATGGTCTTTGACTTGCGCTTGTTTTCAAGAGCTCATTAAATACAGATGGAGACAAATCTACTTTTGTAATGGGACTATTAGGTTCCCTCAGCTTCTCAGAAATTTGGGTCTCCTGGGGATATATTTGAGAATATGGGAGAGGAACAATTATTGCTATTTATTTGAGTTATGCTCTAACTGGCTACCTGCAGATTCAGTATGCAAATGAAAGAGATGTGCCTGGATCAGATCTAAAGGCTTATGTATTAAATGGGGTGTGACTTTTTTTTTAAAAGAAAAATAAAAGACAGGCAAAGTATTAGATATAGGCAAAAGACAATTTCTTTTGCACAAAACCTTTCTCTGGATGAAACTCCAATTCTTTCTTGAGTGAGGATTTTGATTTTCTGAAACGGACATGAAACTAACAGGAACTCTGTCTGGGGAGGGGGGGAACCAAACCCAAAGTTTAATTTTTGCCTGACTCCTTTTGGAAGCTGTGATAATGATTTTTTTTTTTTCCCTTCATAACATGGTCCCCTTCCTTCCTCTCTGTTTCCGCTTTTTTAGTATTTATACAAGAGTTGCTTTCTGCAGTAAGAATCAGAGGTATGCCTGTGCATCTTTCCCTGTGCCAGATGTCTCAGATTTTGCATTCGTGGGCCACGCTTGATCACCTTCTCTGAAAGATTGTTTGACTCCCTACTTACTGATGATGAAGTGAAGGAACATCAGTGTAGGAAAGTGTTTTGCCAGGGAGGTAGAAGAATACATCTGACGCTAGTTAGCAGAACTCAGAAATTCCCAGAATGAAGAGAATTACCTATTTTCCTCAATTTTGTTGAAGCCTCCCTTACTTGTCCGATGAACTGTGTGAGATACATTTTAGAGTACTAAAGAAATTATTTCTTTCCCTCACTAGGTATTAGTATCATCCTTGGAGTTGCTGAGGGTGAATTTTTCATCCATGATGCCGAAATTCAGAAATCAGCCCTTCAGATCATCATCAATTGTGTATGTGGTCCAGATAATCGGATCTCCAGTATTGGCAAATTCATCTCTGGAACTCCTCGGCGAAAGCTTCCTCAGGCCCCCAAGAGCAGTGAGCACACATTAGCTAAGATGTGGAATGTGGTACAGTCCAACAATGGCATCAAAGTGCTGCTGTCATTGCTGTCTATAAAGATGCCAATCACAGACGCAGATCAGATCCGAGCATTAGCCTGCAAAGCCTTGGTGGGGCTCTCGCGCAGCAGTACTGTCCGGCAGATTATCAGCAAGCTCCCCCTCTTCAGCAGCTGTCAAATTCAGCAGCTGATGAAAGAGCCGGTGCTTCAGGACAAGCGCAGCGAGCATGTGAAGTTCTGCAAATATGCTGCTGAGCTGATAGAGCGTGTCTCGGGGAAGCCATTGCTGATTGGCACAGATGTCTCTCTGGCTCGGTTGCAGAAAGCGGATGTGGTGGCCCAGTCAAGGATCACGTTCCCTGAAAAGGAGCTGCTGCTCCTGATTCGGAACCATCTCATCTCTAAGGGCCTAGGAGAAACTGCATCTGTCCTTACTAAAGAGGCTGACCTACCCATGACTGCAGCATCTCATTCATCTGCCTTCACCCCTGTTGCGGCTGCTGCCTCTCCTGTGACCCTGCCTCGCACTCCTCGCATAGCTAATGGCATCTCAGCCCGTTTGAGTAGCCACACTTCTGTAGGTTCCACTGCCACCTCTGTCCATGCTCAGGCAAGGCCGTCTGCATCCCAAGGTCCACTTGCCCTTCCAGGCCCTTCTTATGCCAGCAACTCTCCTCTGATTGGCAGGATTAGCTTTGTCAGGGAGAGGCCATCTCCCTGCAACGGCAGAAAAATCAGAGTGTTGCGACAAAAATCGGACCATGGCGCCTACAGCCAGAGCCCAGCTATCAAAAAGCAGCTGGACAGACACCTTCCTTCCCCACCCACGCTGGACAGTATAATCACAGAGTACCTTAGGGAGCAGCATGCCCGCTGCAAGAACCCTGTTGCCACCTGTCCCCCTTTCTCTCTCTTTACTCCCCACCAGTGTCCTGAGCCAAAACAGAGGCGCCAAGCGCCAACTAACTTTACCTCACGGCTGACCCGCAGGGCAGCCTTTCCGAAGTACGGAGGGGTGGATGGTGGCTGCTTTGATAGACACCTTATATTTAGCAGGTAAGGAAGAAAAATGTTTCTTGATCCCTCTCAGGATGTACCCTGTGCCAAAAAGCCTTACCTGGATTCAGGCTGTGCAGTCCCACAGCGGAGTATCCTTGGAGAGAAAAGTGTTTTAATTCAACAGTGACAAGTGAGAGAGCCTTGAAAGGCATTTTTAGAAGTTGTTCTGTTTCTCTTGTCCTTAGTACTGACCCTTAGTATACATAAAGCACACATTATTTTCAGTATTATGTTAATTCATTAGCAACATTGACTAATGAAGCTCATAGCTCTTTGTTCTCCTTTGGAAGGTAAGTATGTAACGCCACTTTTACACAAGAGGATGGTTGGTTGACAGATGCAGGACAACGGAATCCGTATTTTGCTCTCGCAGCTTAATCAGCAGCACTGCAAGTTGCTAGCCTTTTTATGTGACCTTTCTTTGCTGAGGTTAAATTGGAAGATGATGTAAAGCTTATAAAAATAAAGATGACACATAGATGAAAGCATCTTCACAGTGAAACCAGTATCACCTTGGGAAATTATGATGATGAGGTTATTTGGCTGATGTGCCATGCCTTCTTGTGTTGAGTGTTTCAGAACTGTTACAAAATTTTTTACTAGCTGTCTGTACTTATCCAGGTGACGGCATTAACACGTTTTCCATCAATCCAACTTTGAAGACGGACTTCAAGTGCTTCAACATAATGATGTGCTTAAACAGAAGTACTTAATAGTGCAAAACAAACTCTGAAATGTTGCAAACACTATTGTAACATACTCACTTGAGCACTAGTCTTACAATTAACACTTAGCTTGTCCTAGAGGAAAGCTATAACTTGTACCTACATGACTTTTAAGGACTGGATTTAATATCATCACACAGCATTTCAGTTTTGCTTTTCTTCTTTCTTTTGGGTGACCCTTGTATTTCTACTTTCTCTAGGTTCCGTCCGATTTCTGTGTTCAGGGAAGCAAATGAGGATGAGAGTGGCTTTACCTGTTGTGCGTTTTCTGCAAGAGAACGATTCTTAATGCTGGGTACTTGCACGGGGCAGTTGAAACTCTATAATGTATTCAGTGGACAGGAGGAGGCCAGTTACAACTGCCATAACTCTGCCATCACGCACCTTGAGCCATCCAGGGTAGGTAATCAAAGACCTGAGTTTTGGAAGTTCTCACAGCCTAAGCCCTGGTATGTTTTGGGCCTGTCTAGGTATGTACATCTAAAATGCATCTACTGGCTGGCCTGCGATGGCTGTCATTAAAGTACTTGCAATAGTTACATACTCCCTCTCTGAGTTCTACAATTATTTTTTTTCTTCCCAAGATAATAGAGAAGATGCACAGTGGCTGTGTACCTTCATAAGTAATGAATATGTATGTCTGGAAGTGGAAAAATGCTTAAACTGACTACGTATTTAAGATAAATGTGAGATAACATATCAGAGTTTATATAACCTCCCTTTGTTGGAGAGAGAAATCTTTTTGGGGCATGATTCTAGAAAGAAATAAAAGGTAACTGATTTATAAGCAGAATGAACTCCACTCACAGGGCATCAAAGTTCATGCATGGATTATCCTGATTTTATCTGCTATTAACATCATAGATCGTTCCCATTGTTATCTGTAACGTTTTTCTTCATCTGCCGAGGGCTCTTTATATTATACATAGTATTAGATACCTAGACTTTGTCCCCATAGGAGTAGTTTAGTAAGCGCAAAATCTGCTATAGTTCCTATATTCATCGTGTAAGTTGAAGTGTACGGGTAAAATTATAACCTCTGTTTTCCCTGGTATTCTTTTCCCTTCCTCCCCGTCCACTCCCATCTGGAAATATACAGGATGGATCTTTATTGCTGACATCTGCTACATGGAGCCAACCTCTGTCTGCATTGTGGGGAATGAAGTCTGTCTTTGATATGAAGTAGGTATACTCTGATCCAGCTGTGGGGCATGTTGCAGTTAGAAGAACCATTCACTATAGGCAGAAACCCTAAGAACAAACTCTATGAAAGAACAGTACAGCACAGCTCTCACAATGTCTCTTGTGAAAAAATAAAATATGCTTCCTCTCTTACGTTTAGTATCTTCCCTATTTTATTGGGTACAGACAGCTTTGCTAAATTCTAACTACCTAAAGTCCCATTTAATGCAAGATAGATCAGTAAAATCACTGTTGTCCCTGAAGGCAAAGAAATACGTTTGTATTTTTGTTCTCATGTTTGTAAATTATCCTGACAATCTTTCTCTGGCCAGTTACAGAATTTTAGTAGCATGGTGATTTGCATGGTGAAATTTTCAGACCTGGATACAAGCTATTTCAGACCTGGATAAAGCTATTTAAAATTGATTTCAATATTTACAATTGTTTCTTCCCATAAAAAATGGGGGGAAGGCTTTTCATTTTTAAAAGGTTTGACTGTTGTCTACCTTAGTTGTAAGCAACAGTTTTGGTGTGACCTGTTTTAGGTCAGCTAAAGGGCATTCTTCAGATGAAGTTTAATGTGCCTCAGGCCTGCGTGTGCGTTTGAACGTTCATGATGCCATTTACCGCTCACTCCTCTAAATAGTGTTATGTTTATGGCAGACCCTGTTGCAGTAGTAATTTCATGACAAGTCTGTGAATCTGTTGCTTGTGGGTTTTTTCACTGGTCTGCTGTAAAGGCTGTGTCTGTTACAGATATTTTCCTGCAAATGTCAGTGGAGCATTTTAGCATTGTAGTATGCCATGGTCAATGGCGGAGGAAAGTCTTTTCTACATTTTTAGTCTTCTACATTGTTGAAACCTCTGCTGGAGGTGTTGGGGTAGTGTTTGGTTCACACAGGCGGTTTCAATCTGCAGTTCCTTGACTTCTTCACTGGCTCTATCTACAGGCATTCCTTCCCTGATGACCACTATGTGGAGTTCAGCAAGCACTCTCAGGATAGGGTCATTGGCACAAAAGGAGACATTGCCCATGTAAGTACCAGTAAAGATCATGGTTGTGAAGCTATGACAAGAATGTTATTCTTCACAGGACATTTATTAACAGATCTGGGTGCTATGATGCTCTGTGTAACTGATGAACTAAGAGGCTTTAGAGGAGAGCTTTGAAAGTGTCAAGTAACTTCTCGCTGTGTCTAAGGGTATAAACTCAACCATTCCAAACCAACTGTAGCACAAGCAGTGTGCAATGTTTTCCCTCTGTGGTTAGTATTCTGGGCAATTGTAGAATCTGCTTTGTTTTGCTCATTTGAGAGAGATTGTGCAGGACTTCCCGCCCCCCCACCCCCCGAAGTTGCCTCCTTTGCCTTACTTTTCAGTAGTACTACTACTACTACTACTACTAAAAGTTCCACTGTAAACAGTAGCTCAGTCAACAGCTGTGGGACATGGCCTATTAAAAGTGTCCTTCTTAAAAGTGTCCTCCTTTTGCCCCCCCCACATTTGCAGCTTGCTTTTGCGTAATTCAATTTTACCAATATATTTTCAGAGAATGCTGTTGTAGTGTTTTGTATGAATACCTGCAAATTTGACAGACGCAGGCTTCAGAGTGCTTGTGCTTCTTCTCGGTGCTAATTTGCATTCATTATAGGCACTGTCTCTTTTGAAAGAGTATTTGCATAAAAAATTGTCATGAAACATAACATATTCAAATTATTTATGATTTTACTTATTGCACTTGATTTGTTTAAGCAAACTATCCATTCCTGCCCAGTTTTTAACTTGGATTTATCTGGAAGTCAGATCAGTTTGTGTATTGTGTTTATCTGGTAAACAGATTTGTTTTCCAATTCTAGAGAATTTTTTCCTCTCTATAAGTTTGAACGAGAGCTAGGCTCTGAGGGATCTTACAGGTGAAATTTATCGGAGAAGATGGTCATAAACCCTTTGTACCAGTTAAAGCCCTCTTTATCTTTTTATCTTCCAGCAATTTGTTGGGGCAAAGCTCAGAAAGTTGCCCTTCTGTGTAAATGCCAGGAATTTTAACTTGTTTTCTACAGTTTCTGGCTTTTTTTCCCTCACTGTGTGCTTTGGAGTTTTTATGTTTGTAAATACCATCTGCTCTGAAAGCATTTCTGAAACAGTTTCTGGCTATGGTGGCACCTTGTGCCTGCAGCTTCCCAGCCCACTTTTCATGATGGGGATAGTTTCTTTGGAACTAATTCTGATCGTATTGAAATACATCAGTGAACCTGCAGTAAGCTAAGTACTGGCCAAAATGCATTTCGTGACTTCGTACCAGCTCTGCAAAACTATTAAAGGACTGGCAGGAAGGGTTATCTTTGGAATGCTCTCACTTGAAATGAAAAAGCAAAATGGGAAATGGGGTGATTCTGGAAACAATCTAGAAGGGGGAACATGGGGTGATCTTAGGCACAGGTACATTACAAATTGTGACTAATCTTTCTTTTTCTTTTTAATCTAAAAGATCTATGATATTCAGACTGGCAACAAGCTATTGACTCTGTTTAACCCAGATCTTGCCAACAACTACAAGAAGAACTGTGCCACCTTTAACCCCACTGATGACCTTGTCCTAAATGATGGTGTCCTCTGGGATGTCAGATCGGCACAAGCCATCCACAAGTTTGACAAATTCAACATGACCATCAGTGGTGTTTTCCATCCCAATGGGCTAGAGGTCATTGTCAACACAGAAATTGTATCCTTTGGCCACTGTGGTAACTGATGTGCTGGGACCTAAAGAATTGGTATGTTAAACAAGTAGCTGTTTGCAGAAGTTGTATTAATGGTCTGCTTGTTACAGGTTATGTATGGTAACAACAGTTTTTGCCTGTGAATCAAGTAAAGAGGGACTGTCAGACAGCTAGCTAATTTAAATCTAGATTCTGCCTCTGATATGGCCTACAGGAAATACTTAACACACAGAGTGAGCAAGAGAGATTTTCTTTTCTAGTATAGTCTGTGGTACCTCTGCTCTCTTCCCATCCCTTACCAAGATCAACCTTGAAGCTCCTGCAGTAGCCTGTCATGACTGGGAATGACATTTTGAGTAAGGGCTTCTTCATTTTGAACACGTGGAAGGGATTGTGGTGCTGGAATATGACTCCGGTTCTGTCATATTTGCAAGAAGGTGGCAATGAGGTTTCTTGAATGCAATTAATCGGTTGTTTGCCACTGTGTTGAAAAAGAAATAGAAACTTTCAATCGTTTGTTGCTCCTTAGCCTGTATTTTTTCAGTGGGACCTCCGAACTTTCCATTTGTTACACACAGTACCTGCACTGGATCAGTGTCGTGTGGTCTTCAACTATACTGGCACAGTTATGTATGGAGGTAGGACTTCTCAGTCTTACATTACTCTCCTTGGTCACCTCTGGTTTGAGATACATAGATGCTTGTTCAGTGAAATTGGAAGCCTCAGAGAGTCTGTCTAACTCCAGGCTTTACTGGCATGTGTGAAATGGAATTTTTTCAGGAAGTTATGTTACGTATATTGCTGACAGAGACAGTTTTCTCTAACATCAGCAATATCACAACTCACTTGTGAAATTAAAAATCAACCTATTGAAAAAATGTGTATAACAGCAGATCTGATGATGCCTGAGAAAATAATTTTGTCCTCTGTACTAAGTTTCAATGATCTGTAGTATTAATAAAGGCAGCTCTGGAAGAGTAGATATTAAATGGGTCTTGCCAAGCTATTAAATAAAAAGAAAATTCATGTCAGAGTCTGATTTAATCTTAAGTTGATTAATGATAGTGAGAAATGGAAGGTGGATTTGTGGAATAATCTTTCCTTGTATCAGCTATGTTGCAGGCAGATGATGAAGATGACCTTCTGGAGGAGAGAATGAGAAGTCCCTTTGGCTCTTCTTTCAGGACATTTAATGCAACTGATTATAAACCTATAGGTAAGAGTAACAGAGGAGCAAATAGCTTGGTCTGGAGGTTTGAAGACTTTTTGAAAGTTCTGCTTAGTAACATTCACTTCCTCCTCCCCTGTGCATGTGTGACAAATTAAATTCTGCTACGACCTGTTCTGACTGAAGCACGAGAGTTGGGTTTAACACTGAAATAGGTTCAAGTATCATATCCTGTTCAGTGTGTGATTGCCTTACTTGCTACTGTTCAGCAGTTCTGGCTTTATTTTCCTTTCTTCTTTCCAAGTAGGGCATAATCTAAGATAGTAGATCATTTGGCCAAGATGTCATTGGTCTCATTTCAGGAAGAGCCTTTTTTTTTTCTCCATTTTCTTTTTTGTCCTTTTCCCAACAGTATTTCCCCATGCTGGTAGTTCAAAATGCTGTCAGTTTGGCCTCCAGCTTGCAAAGCTCCTGGAGCTAAGCTAATCACTACTACAGACATAAACAAATGTGGCTTTTGCTATTGAAAGGAGATATGGCTCACAACTCAGTCCCTTGGTTGCCACCTATCCTAGAAGATTATCTGTTGTTTACTGTGCTTAGAGAAGCCAATAAATGTATTATCAAGGGAGGAGGCACTGTGCAGAGCAGGTTAAGAACTTACCTGACTATTTTTTATGACAGTCTCCAACACTTCTATTCTTTATTACAGGTTGAATTAGTTACAAATGTTCATTTCACTTTTATTTCATGTGTTGTTTCTTGTCCCAACATTTTATTATCTGCTTTTAGACATATATTGTTAGATCTTTTCTTTCAATGAGCGTTAAGTAAAATGCAGTTAACCACTGAGTTTGTTTTGTGATGTTTTCCAGCTACCATAGATGTAAAGCGGAATATCTTTGACTTGTGCACAGACAGCAAGGACTGCTATCTGGCTGTCATTGAGGTAAAGGAGCTAAGAATAAACTCTGGTCTCTGTAGTTGTGGTTTGAGCGCAATGCTTTTTGTTTCTTTTTAAAACCTTCAGAACTGGAGGTTCTGGAGTTCCTACTGTTAAATTCACATTCTAAGCCGTGATGGTGTTTTGATGATGGTAAAGACGCTGTTAGTTTTTTGTTGTCCACGCACAGCAGTCTTGTTTTTCTGCCTTTGATTCCTTAAACTTCCAAACACGTTTGCCTCTCTTCTTCAAATACTTCCCACTTTAAAAAGTGAAGAGCTTTTCCTTTTCATAAGCTTAGGGAGAAATGTATTTTTTTCCTATTTATAGCAATAATTTCCTATTAAAATTTGCACTGTGTCGAATAACTGGGAAATGCAGTCTTCCTGGGGCTTCCCATAGACCTTTTCTGTGAATCACTCTTATTGTTCCTTTTTCACTTGCCTTCCTAGCAAAATCCCAGAAGCTAAGGATTTGAAGCAAAAATTACTGAGCGAAACTTCTGATCTGTTAAGGGGGAAGTCATGTTTAACTAATGGGTCTTGAACCTGACTATGTAAGTGTAGTGACTAATTTAAAATCCTGTCGACTTAATTGTCTGTGAACCACTGATCCTTACAGACCAAAAAAAGCAAGTCAAGAATTTGTAGTAGGGCAAGCTTCTTATTCTTATCTCCAACTGAAGTTGGAGTTGCTAAGGTTGTGAGGCCAAGATACGAAAATTTTCTTTTATAGGAGTCATTGGAAATGTTACTTCCTGGCCTGTGGCAGCAGTGGTTGCTGGGGTATCAGACTGTTGTCTTCTGGAACTCTTGCTATATGACAGCTTTTAGCATTGTCTCAGGGCATATGGTTCAATCATATAACAGGGAGGCAAACTTGAAAGGAAGTGGTGTGCAGTTAGGTGAGAATTAAACCAAAGCATGTTAAGGATCCAGTAAAGGTTTTGTTAAGTCTCCTAGTAAGAGTGTAACTTGTGGATGACAGAAGCAGAAAGTAGCTATTTACATCACTCCTGGGCTGGTCCTTGAAACCAAAAAGACTTCCTTTTTTAGTGCTAATTGTACTGCTGCTAGTAAATGGGATGGAAGGATTTTGGTAATGTTTCTGTAGTTGAGATCAGGTATAGCACTGAATATGAATGCTGAGCTTAATTCCTGGGGTTAACTGCTGTGTGGGCATCTGTCTTCAGAATCAAGGGAGCATGGATGCCATGAACATGGATACAGTTTGCAGACTGTATGAAGTGGGCAGGCAGCGTTTGGCAGAAGATGAAGAGGATGAAGAAGAAGATCAGGTGAGAAGTATAGCATTAACCTGGTTGTTCAATAGTAGCTGTTAGCCACCTATGTGTGAGAGGCCACAGGTGTGTTCATTTATTACCCATAAAGTACAGATGCCTCATTTGGTCTCACCTCATGTGAAGTAGATGGCTTTACTGTCAGTGTAAACTAAGACTATGTATGCAGAACCTGTGTGAACAGTAACTTTGTGCACTGTAAACGGACATGATAATTTATAGTTTATTTATTAATTTCTGTAAGTTTTTCAGTCTTGATCAGAAACTTTGCTGTTTGTTCTGCTTGGTTGCTTTTTTTTTTAATTTTTTGACACCCAGTAGAGACAGTAGTGTTTTGAGGTTTTCCTTTTTTCAATTCCAAGTCTCACATTTGGGCATAACTTGTCACCAATTTCTGAATGAGATACAACTTGTGACTAATGCAGTGAAACTGCACAGTACTTCTGAACAGCAAAATGTTTTAAGAATTTTAAAGAAAGCTGTAGGTTTGCATTGGGATGTATTTTTTTCCTTCTCAGATCAGCCCTTTGATCTCTGGCAACTTGACAAAAGAGCTAAGAACTGTAATAAGCGCTCCTCAGGGTGCAGTTGGTAGAATACACAGTAGCACAGAACACTTACTACAGTACAATGAGAATTAAAGACAGATTTGTAGCTTTTTGGGTGTCAGGTGGTTTGGTTTTTTTTTTTGAACAGGCAAAGGCCTTATGCTTCAATTCCCTGAAGATTTTAAATGCATTGTTCTCTGCTCTTTGATATCTGCATTCTAGTAAATCATATATTTGTATCTCCTGTGAGAAAAGCTGACTTCACCTTTTTCCAAAGAATGCCAGAAGGTAATATTTTGGTGGGGTTTTTTTTCCAGACTGTGTGGAAATCTGGATTTCTGATACCCTTTCTGTCTCTGAATCTTCCTGTTGCTAGGTTAAAACTTTTACTTTCTAGTTTAGAAGACTGGATAGCAGATCCCAGGAAAGAGTAAATTTTCTTTGCAGTTAGTTGTTATTATTACAATTTCAGCGTAATTCTGAAGATAAGGAGTAGTTCCATTTTGCATACACAGTTTGCTGCCCTGTCCTCTCAATGTGCTACAAGGTTGCAGTTGAAGTCTTGGCATTCTTATGAAATCATTGGTTGCTGTTTTATCCCTAGACTGGATGGATTCAGTTTAGGAACTTTTAGAGTGGGTGAAGAGTAGAATTCTTGGGAAGCAATGAGCGGGGGGAAATTACTGTTCCTTCCAAAGTGTTTCTACTTTCTAGCCATTCAGTACTTGTCTCAGGCAATAGTTTCTATTTTTGTCTCTGCTTCCACTGTTTTTGTTCACATTCAGTATATTTTAGTAAGCTTATTCACATTTTCTTTATAAAATCTCAAAAAATAGTTTGTAGCAGAAATTGATTTTGCATTGTACAATGATTAACTAGCAGCTGTCAAGACACTGTTTTGTGATATCGCTCTAAGTGATATTTGTATAAGAGGATGCAGTCTGAATGCTGTTTGTTCCAGGCTGTAACAGTAGGTACCAAGCAGAGATAAGGTATCTATCATCCATCAAATGTGACTGGGGATGCTTCCTGTCTTACAAATGGAGGTGGCCCCCAGGCAGAATTTAAGTATGCTAAAAGCTTTTCTGAAAAGCTTAAGGAGTATTCAAACAAAGCTGCTTTGGGATCGATTTGCAAGCTAAGAGTGACTAGTTAATATTGCATAATTGCTGCTTTTTGTGGTCTTCATTTCTGGGGTGTATAGATGTTTCCTAGACAGTAACTTTTAGGGATGGTTACAATCAAGTTTCTTTTAGTAAGAGAGATTTAGTTTTAATGTAAACAACACTTACGAACTCAAATTCAATTCAATCTATACATATTTAGCAAAACATAAACTAAACCCCTTGCTCTCTGTCCTGTAGCTGTTCACTGCTGGTCCTCCAGGTTTGTTCTAGTCTTAGGCTTACGAAATATAGCTCTTGTCTCCATAGAGACATCCAGCATTGAGCTAGAATGAGTAAAGGTTTTCTAGAATAAAGACAGAATCTTTCTGGCACGCTTGTCTGTTAAGGCCAACAAGAGTAATTTGTTTCCTGATGAACAGGAGTTTTCTGTGTGTACATATGCTCACACATATGTAGGTGTTTACTACTTGCCTAGTTAGTTTCTGTGATTTAGGCTTTGAAAAACTGGAAATAAACTTTCAAACTTATTGGGACTTCTCACAGATATTCTAAAACACCTGCTGGTTAAAAGAAGGTGCTTTCTGATCTTTTTCATGAAAATGGTGTGGGGGGAAATCCATGTGAATCAACATCAATCTGGTATCTCTTTTGTCAAGATTTTTAGAGCAGATACTAATCTGTTTGGCCCCTGTATCTTCACACCTTGACTTTATGCATATCTCTCTCTCTCTCTCTCTATCTTTGTCTATGATCTACATGGGTCCACATGTACAGTTTCTTGCCTGTACAGAAAGTAATAAGTACTCAAATAGAAGCATGTTTGATGGGCAAGCCTTGCTTGGAAGTCATGTGACACAGAATAAAATTGCTTTAAAAATTGTGCTTGGGACAAGTTAAGAACTGTGGAGAAAAATATCTGCCTGACATTTTTTACTTTAAATTTTGATGCCTCATGATGTCAGTTTTGATAAGTGTCAACTGATAGCTCTGTGACAGATTTTTGAAAAGCAAAAGACTGAGACCCCATAAAATGAACCGAGCAGGGGTATTTGGCCTACAGATGTCTTTCAATTCCTTCTCTTATTTAAGTGAAGAAACAAAACTACTATATTACTCCCCCGTTCTCAAACCAAACCTTGTAAAATCAAGGTTACATAATGATCTGTTACATAAATTACCCTCAAATTTAATGATCAGGCTGACTTAGCTGGCTTGTGTATGGTAATGCTGCAGTAAAAGTTTATGGGTTTGTTTGAGATACTTGAAAATAGCACCACTGTAGCTAGATTCTTCCTTGGCTGTTACACTAACCTTTCATATGAGAGATCTCTGGAAAGCTGCCTTTTCCTAGTTACGGCCAGTAATCCAGAGTTGTCAAGCCTTGTTAAATGGAACAAATGCTAAATGGACATTGATACTCTGTGGTCTGTACTTACTACGATAACTGAGGGAAAGTGAAGATGTAACACGCTTTAGCAAGAGTTGGTTTGTGAACTTTTTTTACTGGATGTTTTACTCCAAAAATACTAGTCTTTCTGCCTTGAACTTTCATGAGTTTTGTGTATTACTTCACTGCTGGGTAAGTATCTAAACGGGTCCATCAGTGACTGACACTCTCATTCACAAGTATTTGCAAAACTATGGTCAGTCTATGGGGAAACAGGCAGAGTTTCCTATTCTTAAGTCCTGCAGCAAGATCCTCCTCTTCCTCTTCCTCCTGTATTTGCCACTGTTTTGATACACTCCTTCAGAGTTAGACTTAACAAAAATAAGATGGGTATCTGAGCTAATGGTACAGATGCTGGACCATCTTTGGTTGTTAGCTTGCTTAATTCTTATTTATTTCCCTTTCTTGGCTGATTAGTATCCCCTGTTTCACTGAGTAATCTACTGTCTTCTGTAGTGAGGCAGACCAGGAATTTCAGAGAAAATGGTGCAAAGGAAAGTGAACGTACTGATCTGGCCTAGAAATGGTACATGGCAGTTGCTACGGGCTAGAAAAGGAGACTTCAGAAATATTAAGTGATCAGAAATGCTAAAACCAAGGGAACTGGCTGACCATAGAGTAGACTCAAAACTGAAACTTAAGTCTGGATGATGTGATCTGAGTGGGTTACAGGATTTTCAGTCTGTGAATTTTTACCTCTTTATTTTAGTTTTTCTTTCCATATTAGTTCTTTAAGGCCTATTTTTCGCTCTATAGTACATGATGTGGATGATGTTGCATCTGTGAGGCTCAAGTAGTATTCTCAGTTATTGTCATGTTCAGAGAGATTTATGGCTTCAGCAGCAGATTGCTTCATCTAGCTGTCCCTGTCCTATAAAGTGTGTTCTACTTCTTTTGCCAGAACTGAAGAACTGTTAATTATCCTGCAGTGCTTCTGGGCTATCGAAATTGTGATGGTAGGTGTGTAATTTGTCTTTTTGCATTGGTTTAGAAAATTCTAGGTGATGTGAAATGAAAGCTTTGGAGATAAGGCAATAAAGACTTGAAAGACAGTTACTATTCTGACATGTGGTTTAGCCAGGATAAAGAATGTTTTTCCTCAGCTTTCTATGTGGTCTTTGTGATCCCAGTTTCTGCTTCCCCCTATCTGCCTGCAACAGCAATTCCACTGTACTTTTATTGCTGTTGGTTTGATATAGGTTTGTTTTTATGCCGATACTTATTTGCTGGGGAAGAAAACCCACAAACCTTAATCCTTATTGGCACATGTGTTTGGGAATCATCAGACCATGGTGGTGCTTTGTCACTACAAGCTGCCTAGAATGATTTATGTCATCAGAGACCCCTAGTTTTCCAGGAGCTGTTCCTGTAACATTTGAAGATATTGTTTGTTTTGAAATCTTGCTCGGGATGAAATGTTTAAAGGATAATAGCTGGGAACAAGTATTTTCAGACAAATGTCTCAACTGATAATAATATACATGTGTTTATTGCACACCTTAATAGGAATCTTTGAACTTAGTTGCAGCTGGGGAGGCTAAGTAAAGAGTGGTTTCCATCAAAGACCTGTTTACATAACAGACACATCTTTTGAACAGGCATCCTCCAAAACAGATATTTAAGGGGGAAAAAAAAAGTTTTCCCAGTACCTGTATTTCTTACCACATTTTTAGATAGTAGCAAATAACTGTGACTGCTTCAGCCTATTCTGCTGTTTCAGAATCTAGCTTCACTAGCTGTCAGTTAGTGCAAACAGAGGAAATTCTTGGAAAGGGAGAAGTAATTGGAGTTGAGTTTTCAGAAGGCTAGACCTAGTATTAATGGAGTAAAACAGCTTCAGCAGAGATAAAAGCATATTCTGCCTGTTCAGTGACA